CCTAGCTGTGTATACATACTTGATTTTTCAAATCCGTGTTGATGAAGTATGCGTCGGACTCGTGCCCATCTATGCGTACCGCTCGACCGCACGTGCGCAAAATACAAGAGCGACCGAGAGAGAGAGAGAGAGAGAGAGAGAGAGAGAGAGAGAGAGAGAGAGAGAGAGAGAGAGAGAGAGAAGGGTTTGTACTGATTGTCGCCTTCATCAATCGTTGATTTCCGAGATCGTTCTGGTTTTTGTTGTCTGTACAGTGTGTGGACACGGGTCGCCAATCCTCCCTTTTTTCGTCCTTCCTTTCTATCTTCGTCCTTCTTTCATTTTTGTCTATATAATGTGTCGGACACGTGGAAATCGTCCTTCTCATCGCGTCTAAACGAAACCAGCTAATGTGTTCATGATGCATTCACCAAAGCACATGATAGTGCGGCCGTGCAGTTCACAAGAAAATGGAAAAGGAGCGATAAGCCATACTTTCAGTATTTCTATTACCGCTTTGTTTTTTTTTTTTCGTTTTTTTTTTTTTATGTTGGAATCGTCCCTTTAAAGAGAACAATCAATCAGTCGGTGGTATTGAGTTATTGACTGGTCGCTTGTATTTTATTTTTTTGTCCGTGAATGATTGATTGATTGGTATGGATTTCCCTTCTAATACAACAATCAATCAGTTGTACCTTTGGAATCAATCAATCGTCAATCGTCCCTTTCAGTAGGTTTCCCTTCGGAATCGTCCCTTTCAATAGAACAATCAATCAATCGCCGATATTGATTTATGGACTGGTCGTTTTTTTTTTTTTCCGTAAATGATTGATTACTACGGATTTCCCTTCGAATAGAACATTCAATCAATCGTACCTTTGGAATAAACCAATCGACCATTTCAATAGCTTTCCCTTTCGAATCGTTCCTTTGAATACCACAATCAATCAATCTGTGACATTTTTTTACTGACTTGTCGTTTTTTATTAATTTTTTTTTTCCCGTTCGTTTATGGATTGATCGATTAGCACGGACCCAACGCCCCCACACCCCCTGTCAAAACCCATGACACGCTGGTTGTTGTTCCCTTTCAATAGAATACTTGGTCATTTCAAATCGTTCCTTTTTTTTTTTCCCACTCCAAACTCTGCAAAAACGTTTAAGGACGTCGAGAACGGCAAAACTACATCACACGAAAGTACATAACACAAACGAAACATGTTGTCAATGAAGTTCAATTTGTCAAACGCAAATAAAACAAGGAAATCCACTCGCAAGTCACAAATTTGAAACCTATTGCAGAAAGCACACGCCGCATAGCTTCCGACTAAGGGACCGAACACATTGACATACACATCACGTCTATTTGAATTAAACCTTCTTACGCATACGAAAAATTTCTGACAAAGCATGCCACATCTCTAACCATCAACGTGCAAGCATTGATTACTTTCGCTGGCAAACGAAAGGATTGACTTGCACGATTCCTAAAAGACAGCGGGTGGCTCTAAGTACAGTCCACCCCTAAACGACCGACCCCTAGCCCCCCTCCCTCCCCCCCCTCCCCCCCAATCCGAACACACCCGCAGAAGCCACCATCGTCAAGCCATAGCCGGGTGCGTTCGAAAGCTAAGCGCGTCGCACAATGCAAGAGCGTCATCGGTGGCATCATCCTGCGACACAGGGGCAGCAGGTCCATGCATACCGAGATCGATGAAGCGCTCGTTGTCGCCGGCGTCCCTGTCAACAAGTAGACGCTCGTCAAATTCGATGCCGGCCTCGATCAGCAAGTTGTGCAAAATACAAACGGCGGTGAATTGCTGGGGCAGATTCTCCATGTTCGTCTTGTGGTGGCGCAGAAACAACCACCACATCCCCTTCAGTCTCCCAAATGCCCGTTCGACAACATTTCGTGATGACTTGGGACATGTGTCGAAATGCGCCTCGTCGGGAGGTTGCACTACTCCACCGTAAGGCACTACAAGCCAGGGCAAGGGTCCATAGCCGTTGTCCGCGAGGACGTACCCCCTCGTTCGCACCCCGTATGGCAGGTCCACCGCATCCGCCAAGAACAAAGTGCCAACTTCTGCACGTTTGTACAGTGACGAATTTATCAAAACCCTGGCGTCGTGGACGCTGCCCTAATACCCCATGTGAACATCCAGCACACGCATGTCGAGGTCGTCGACGACTACTTGAGCAATGACAAAGTACTGCTGCTTTCCATTGAAATAGTTCTCCGCTGGCGCATTTGTTGGCTTGTCGACGTACACGTGACTGCAGTCCATGCAACCAAAACAGTTTGGGAATCCCTTTGCTGCAAACGCTCGTGTAACCTGCAGCAACCGCCGACCTGTTGGCATCGCTATCTTCTCCGGATACGCAGACAAGATAGCGCTCGTCACGTCCCTCACCGCCTTGATACCACTCGACCGCCCCATCCCAAATGACGGCGTTGCACTGTCAAACGTCTCGCCGCTCGCCCACCTGTACAGAGCGAACGCCACCAGCTGCTCCGGCATCAGTGGAGTGCGGTAATGAGTGAGGGACTGTTGAAGAAAAGGAGTGCAGGCGGCGACGATGTCGTAGAACGCCCCTCTCGTCATTCGTAGCTTCTCATGGAAATAGTCCTCTGTGGCGTCATCATCAATTATGAGATCTTGCCATGTTCCGCCGGTTCTCCTCCGGATCCACCACCGTGGCGTCTCCCTAGGAAGGACACCCGACACAATGGAATTCGCCATAAGGAACGACGCATCCCAAACAGTGGCGGACGAATTCGAATCCGCCATGGCGTGCGTGGCGATGGCCTCCCTCACCCCAACTCTTCTCGCCGGACTGCACCATAATGCCGCTGTGTGCTGCAGATGTGTCGACACGGCGAGCAACGCTGTAACCCCCAAGCGTTTCTCACGCTGGGACAGTTCTCGACGATGTGGCACGGAGCCGTCCGCCGCCACGCAAGAAAATTGTATGTCCTCCATGGACAACAGCTATGGAAGTCCACTCAACGCACGGTGAAACGAACAACTCCCAATGAAAGGAAACTGGCAGCGGTGTCCACTGCCCTCGCACGCGTCCAAGTGCAGTACAAGCCCGTGTCCACTTCCGCGTGCATGGCAATTGTGTAGGCTGCACAGCGCCACACTCTACCCCCAACAGATTTTGAATTTGAAAACCCACCGCGCACACGCTCCCACACTGCTCCTCGCCCCGACCGGTCCCCAGAGTCCCAAATGGCACATCGTAGGCGGACATATTCAAGGCCGGCTGCCGGCCTACTGGATCGAAAACCCACCGGTGGGTCTCCGCACACGGGGGAGCCAGGGTGTTTTTCTTTCAAGTGCGACATTTTCAAGTTCGGTCTCTAGTGTGCATGGAATGAGGAGGCGGCGTATTGTAAATTAATCAAGATTTCGCGATTAGGCGCACTTGAAACTCAAGAGTTCTCAAGTGGTGTGGAACTATGCCCTAATATAGTCTACAGAAAGCAAACGATTGAAAACAACCAAGGGAACAGCCACATATAGAGAGTCCTAGGGGATTCAAAAGGAGGGAGAGATATGAGTCTCCCCCTCCCGCTGATGGCGCCGCCACCCATAGGGCTTCACGGCTTTAAGACAATCAGAGTTTCGAAAATCTACAAAATATCAAACTAACGGAACAATCTCACTGACTAAGAGCTGGGAAGAAAATAAGCATTAGGGTTACCCTCTCATCCTCACTATCCAAAACACTGTAAAGAGCCTTTGTTGCCTAGACGGGTTTTCCACCACGCACCCAATGGATACACTTCTAGTTTGCTCTTTACCGGGTCTCTCATATCATCCCAATCCTGTGAGGATCACCCTAAACCACTGCAAACATGCCCCAGCGTTTAAGAACCTCGAGAATCTGTGAATGGACATATGCTTCTGAAAAATTCGCGACAACAAACACAAATCCCAAGTCCTAGCCTCGGCGCAAAACGACTGACCAAGGCCATCAATCATGCGAGGGCGCCCGGGAAACGTTCCCAACTTCCCACCGCCATTAGTGAGTCTCCCACTCCCGCTGATGGCGCCGCCACCCTTAGGGCTTCAGGGCTTTACGACAAGCAAATTTCGAAAATCTACATATTATCAAACTAAAGGAGCAAAATCAATGACTAAAAGCTAAGAAAGAAAAATAAGCATTAGGGTTACCCTCTCATCCTCACTAGTACCCAAAACACTGTAAAGAGCCTTTGTTGCCTAGACGGGTTTCCCACCACGCACCCAATGGATACAACTCTAGTTTGCTCTTCACCGGGTCTCACATATCATCCCAACCCTGTGAGTGTCACCCTAAACCACTGCAAACATGCCCTAGCGCTTAAACCACCAGTACCTCGACCAGCTATCGGACACGGGGCCTTCCCGTATACGCGCCGCGTCCGAAGGGGCACCCACCTTGCCACGACCGGTAGCGCGGAGGACTCGGACAGAAAAACGGAAAAAACAAAAAACCAAAAAAAAAAGAAAAAAAAAAAATCGGAACAAACAAAGAAAGAAAACAAACGCGCGAGGCCGGGGGGAACGGGGGAAGAGAGAGAGAGAGAGAGAGAGAGAGAGAGAGAGAGAGAGAGAGAGAGAGAGAGAGAGAGAGGGAATGGTCATCAGCACCTGCACGAAAGACAAAAAATATGTCGGCGCATCTTTCCATGTTCTTGCAGAAGATTCATTCTCACTTCGCACTTTTCGAGAGTAGTCCAGCGAGGCCCATTCTCTCTCTCTCTCTCTCTCTCTCTCTCTCTCTCTCTCTCTCTCTCTCTCTCTCTCTCTCTCCCTCTGACCCTCTACGAGAAGGAATCTTCCTCTTTGTTGGGGAAGATTCATTCTCGTAGGGCACGTCTGATTTCGTTTCTTTTTTTTTTTTCTTCTGCTGAACGTTGAATGTGTCATTTTTTTTTTGTTTTTGTTTTTTTTTGTTTCTGTGATGTGCTACCGGTTGTCCTACGCTCGGCCATAAAGTCCGAGGCTCGGGAATTATCGGGCTAACGGTAGTCCGAGCTTCGGACTTGATAGCTGAGCGAGGTACTGGTGGTTTAAGAACCTCGAGAATCTGTGGATGGACATATGCTTCTGAAAAATCGCAACATCAAGCATAAATCCCAAGACTTAGTCCTAGCCTTGGCGCGAAGCGACTGACCAAGGCCATCAATCACGCGAGGGAAGTGCATTGCGTAGATGTTTCCAATGATGTCTCAGTCGTACATAAGAGCTCAATACCAACGGACCACTTCCTTCAAACTACATCATGAACCAACAGTAAAAAATTAAACAAGACGTAGACGACAACGCAACAACCAAATTAAGTTATATGGAACATGAGATGAAATGAACTTCACACTGCCTTGCGACGTGGATCGGTCAAACAAGACTTGCTGTAGCCCTTGGACATGCCGGAGTGCTGCCACCGTAGCCACTCGTCCGCGGGTTCGAGCTTGGAGGGCGGCCGTGATCACGGCCGCCACGGCTCCGGCCACGGTTGGGTGCGGCCGCAACTTTCAGGAATATTTTTAGACTTTTAAAAATTCTCAAAAAAAAAAACAAAAAGAATGGGGTTGTAGATCTTTTCGAGATCTAAATTGCACAATTTTTTATGTTATTTTTTGACTTCGTCTTCAAAAACTAATTTTCCTGAGGCAAAAGCTTCTTTTTTTTATTTTTTAAGAAAAAACTATCAAACTTATGTGTTTTTTTATTTTAAATTCAGTAAAGTTTTTGGATATGACCACAAGGCAAAAGTTGTTCAGTATATTTTTCTGCATAACATATTTTGTTTCAGAATTTTTTGAATTCTTTTTTTTTTTTCATGGCCACGGGGTTGCGGCCTCTCGGCCTAGGCCGCGCATGGCCGCCTCGGGGGGGATTCATAGCTCCCACTGCATCCAGATGCGCTGCTCCGCCTTCCATGCTTTCCCAGTGGTCGAGGCAGTCGGGATGGCGTGTCATGAGATACAGCGCACGGCCTATGGATGGTGAAAAAGGAGCCCCCCCTTTCCAGCAGAAGGCTTGCGGGGAGGACGGCTCCTCTGGTATTGCGATCCTGTTAGGTATGACAATTGGTATGGAGGTCAGGTACGGAGCTGCCATGATGCCATGGCGTAAGAGTGTGAGGCACTCCCTACCCACTCAAGGGCTAGGCTACGCCAGGGCACTGTGGCCATAGCTCTCACACAGCTTTGGTGCCTGGCAGGTTAGGCACCTCGTGGAAAGAATCAGCGTCCTCGTACCCTGACATTGCGTCCTACACAGCCGCCGCTGAAGACCGGGTGCCACCACCGCCACAATCGCCGCTTCGTTAGCACAAATTTAGTGCGGGCCCCGTCCCCGCAGGCGGTTTTGGCGCCGGCTGTGAAATTACCGAAACATAAAAATAAAAAACTCCGCACAAGGACCTTTTTCCCTCCATCTAGGAGGCAGTTGCGGTAAGATGCATCCAGATCTGCCCGTAGTTCCCGTCAGATATGCGCTAGGAAAGTGCTTGTGTGAGTATGCACTCAGCCCTTTGGAGAGGCGGAGACACGCTCGTGGAGTCGTGGGTGAGTATATGCCCTCAGCACTTCGGGACATCCGCTAAAATTCTGGAATTACGAGGAGAAATCTGCAAGACTGCCAATCAATGGCCTGAAATAAATGCCTGTGGGGGAATTTATAACTTTTCCCCTGTTTTTCCGGTCCAATAACATCACAGTGAGGGTGCGTTGTGTTTAATGACTACGTTAGCAATCCTTGAAGTGGGAACGTGGATTACTTCTAAAAGAAGAGACAAGGGCAGTGCTTGTGGGGGGACGGAGGGGGGGGGGGAGAGAGAGAGAGAGAGAGAGAGAGAGAGAGAGAGAGAGAGAGAGAGAGAGGGATAAAATAAAAGAAATTGTGTCTGCACTCCTGTGTGATGTTCTGAATATTGACATTTTGGACTCACTGTGCAGAGCTTAGGGCCATTTCCACACTTCCTTTTCACTGTAGCCCAGATGGATTGGGTGCCTTTTTATTCACTGTTCACTTCCACAGGTTGCGGGTAAAAGCGTTGCCATGCCCTGTGGGGCACCTGTGGCGCATGCTTCAGGTCAGAATTAGACCTCGAAGTTTACCCGTTGTTTGCAGGTTCGATCCCTGCCATTCCCGAGTGGATGCTTAGGGGCAGGCTGCCAATTGCCTGTCCGAGCCTCTGTGTCATCCCCCGTACGTCGTACAGGGGGTCTCCGTACGGCCCGTACGTACGGACGGACGTACCCCGTACAGGCGTACGGACGATGGCCGTACGAAGGTGTCCCAGGGTCAAAACAAAATAAAAAAATATATATATATATATGGGGTTGTAGATCTTTTCGAGATCTACAACCCCATATTTTTTTTTCGATTTTTCGGCCTCAAACAGGATTTTTAAGAAATCGACAAAAAAAAAAAAAAAAAAAAAAAAAGAAAAAAAGAAAAAAGAAAAAGGGACATGAAAATGATAATGTGGGACATCTTTAAAATAATAAAATATAAAATATAAAAAGTGGGAC